GGAAAGGAAGAGTTGTGTTGAAATAAAAGGGAGATGGCATGGGTACTATATATAGCCTAACTGAACCACACATTGGGGCCGGGGGCACGTGCCTCCTGGCCCAATGTGACTCATATATATATATATATATATATATATATATATATATATATATATATATATATATTGGCCCAATGTGGCTCATATATATATCTATATATATATATATATATATATATATATTGACAAAAATGTCAAATTCTCAACACCATTAATATTTTTTATTATTAATATTTTTTATTTTCATTTGTTAGATTAGGAACAAAAACTGATGGGAAGGGCCCTCAAGTGAGAAGACTGATGTTCTCATCAGTTTTTGTTCCATATATAATGCAAACTTCCCCAAAAAAATATATATATATATATATATATATATGTATATATGTATATATATATATATTTAAAGAGACTAATACCAAATACATATCTAGACATATACATTTATTCATAAATCCAATTGTATATATTAGTTTATTACTATTATGATTATTATTATTATTAAATTTATAAGAGTAATTTAATTGTATATATTATTTTACTACTAATATTATTATTTAATTGCATATATTATTATTATTATTACTTTACTATTAAATTCATAAGGGTAATTTTGACATGTAAAATCATTTTTCTTTCACTCTCTTGCTTTCCAAACTAATTAAACAAAATTTTCTCACAAGTTTCTTCAAAAATATTCTTGCTAACCAAATGCATAATAAAAAACTAATTTTCTTTTCTTTTCTATCACTTTCTTTTCTTTTACTTTTTATCATTAATTTCGAATTAACCAAATGAACCCTTAGAGCATCCGGGGCGCAAGTTGTTTTAAAAAGAGAGTGTGTCAGTGTAGAGAGAGAGAGAGAGAGAGGGGCAGTATGGAGAAACAAGTGGAGTGTTTTTTTTGTGGGCCCTGCAATTACTATCTATTGGGTTGTCTACCGATGGAGTGGGGCTTTGGAGAATACGCTACCAAATTTTCTCTTTGTTTAATTGCCTACGGCTGCTGTCTTGTATCTTGTATCTATTGGGTTGTTTTCAGATTTTTTATTTTATTTTTAAATAAAATTAATAAAATAATAAATAAAGAATGAGATAATTAAGTTCCACACCATGGAGCATGTGAATAAAAAAAATTAGAGTACCACATCATCACTTTTTAGTTTACGTGGCACTCTATTTTTTAAAAAGTAGATAGATAACATTGTATGTCCATGTCGATTGCTCTTATATCTTACTGTCGTGTCTGAACAGGTGTATATCAATCCAGCTGTTTTCTCCACTCTTGGGCATAATGGACACGGAAACCACGAAGAGACATCAAAGGCAGGCACGGACCCAGCCGGTGACCCGGGGGGGTAGATGCCCCCCCTGGATTTTTAATATTTTCATTTTATACCCTAATTTTTTAAAAATTTATGAAAATGCCCCCCCTAAAATTACAATTCGCCCCCATTGGATTCTTTTTTTTAGCATTTTATACTTCAATTTTTGATAATTTATGAAGATGCCCCCACTAGAATTATAATTTGCCCCACTGATTTTTTTTTATTTTTTTTATTTTTCATTTTATACTTTAAAATTTTTAAAATTTATGAAAAAAACCCTATTAAAATTTAAAAAAATGAACCCATCATATAATTTTGTACCCACAAATTAAAAGCCGCCCCCCCCTCACAAAATTTTCTGGGTCCGTCACTGATCAAAGGGATAAGAACTATAATCTAGTTCAAAATTAAATGAGAGATAAGGCAGAGACATCATGCTTTCCATGTGAAATAGGGGGCGTAAACTGGAAGGACTCGTTCAAACAAGCCCGCGTTGTTTCCCGCTCTGTTTCTTTCTGTCCTGTCTGGAAAGTCCATATCAAGCCAGTTGTTTTTCTTGGACCTAATAATTTCTAGAGTTATATTGGCACAATATTGTACAGTATGGAACTGTCACGTTTTCCTTGCTGTGCAACAAGGAGAATCTGTACTCCTTCACCTAAATTCTCAAAGTAATGTTTAGGTTCTGTTTGGTTAGACAGAAAATTTTATGGAAAGTGAAAGTGAAAGAAAGTAAAGTGAAAGAAAGGAAAATCAAATTTCTATCATGCATTTGGTTAGCAGGAAATATTTTGAAGAAAGTTGTAAGAAAATATTATTTTTGTAGTTTGGATAGCATGAAAAGGAAAAGAAAATGATTCTACTTACCCAAAATACCTTTATAATTTTAAATAGTAAAAAAATAAATAAATTTATGTTTGATAAATATTATTTATACTTAATTATTTATTTTAGTAAGAAAATAGTGAAATATGGAATAGAATAATATGTGATATCATAATATAATTTTTTTTTTGTTTTCTCCTCTCTCTATATATATTCAGTTGTTCCTGTGTAAACTTGCATTCTCGATCTTTAAGATCAGAAAAATAAGTTTTTGGTAAAGTGGACTATCAAAGTTTAAGTATTTATTTTCTCTTTATGTTAGTTTTAATTTTATTATTTATTTATAAATGATGTAACTGAATACTAATATCTAATTACAACTTTCTCATCGAGAAAATAAAGTCATAGACAGACTATGTAAACTATTTACGAATCATCAATTATTTATTTCAAGATAATGTTTGATGTTAGGTATGAAACAAATTGTGTTAAGATAATGTAGACTAGTTTTCACTTAACACTCTTGTTTTCCTTCAATATCATACATAACTTGGATGGAATTAATCAGACTTCCGAAGCCTATAGTTAATTCACTTACTGTGCTATACTTTCCGTCATCCTACGGTTGTCCAGCCGTAGTTCCAAATGGACCAACAACTAGACCAACAGGCTTAATATATACTCCAATCGAATCTAAATAACCAGCATTACGTCCAAAGAATCCAACAATCTTGCCAGTAGTTATTGGTGTTATAAAAGGAGTTCCTTCTTCCACACCATATGGTCCATATTGCTTCACATTGCTTTGGATTGTAAGGGATTTCACTACAAAATTTTTTTGAGAACCATACCCATAGTGTCCAGATATTGACATAAGGTACTCAGTAGGATAGTTTAATTTCACCTGTAAGATTTCAATTAACAATGATAAACTTAGGTAAATATGTACTACAAATACCATCAAATTCACAAACACAATGAAAACAGGGATAGAAAGAATAATGGCAAAAAGATTTCACTTAAATTGAAAAAAAAAAAAAAAAAGATTACAAGTTTTCTAGCCTCCAATCTTTTGTTTCTCTCACACCATCTCATCTTTTCTTATATCACATTACAAAACCTAGTTGCAATAGAGAATAAAATTCCGAAGCACAACCCGCCAGAAAATATAGACTGAAATAAAAAAATTTGGAGGCAAAGGCCATAATGGGATCAAATTTGGGTTGCAACGGAACCCAAACTGAAACAAAATTCAAATCACAAATTTATAGATTTGTATATTAAAATATATATATATATATATATATATATAGTTTGTATGTTTCATAATGTGGATTGTGGATCATTTATAGGGAGTGGGGAAGGAGTGCAGTGTATTTGACAAAAATTTTCAAAAATATATAATACACACGTAACACGTTGAATTCATAAATTTATATTAATAAATTTAAATGAGTAGGCGAAGAAAAAAGGAAAGAAATTGGAGAATTTTGAAAGGAAAAAAAATAAAATTTGATTGAAAAAAAAAAGAAATAAAACTTTTTCTTTTAAGGGAATCAAAGGATTTAATTATAAAAAAATATGAGACATCATTTTAGCAATTGAAAATTTTAAGAGATTATGAAAATCAAATTGCATATATATATATTACCTCATCCGATGTTCTGTCGTTACTACCACTATCACCATTCGTTTCTTTCGATACTAGCTCTCCTTCAACATCATAATCAACTTGGATGGAATAAATTTCTGTTCCCCATAGTACAACTAGTTTTCGTACAGTCGTATAGGTTCCTCCATCATCCCAATGCGTTCCTCCTGGACCACCATATGGCCAGCCAGTAACTAATTGCACATTCTCCATGGAGTCTAAATAAATGTAATGCTTCAAATTAGTTTGCCCGCGAAAGTAATTAGATATTTATATATTGGGTAAAGTACAGAGACACCCCCTGAGGTTTGAGGTAAGGACACCCATGAGAAAGTTTGTTTATTTTTGGACAACGACACCCCCTTGTAAAATTTATCATCCAAACAGAGCCTTAAATCATATGAAAAGTCCACTTTACCCTTCTCTATTTTATTAATTTTAATTATAAAATATCAAAAACTTAAATGACCAAATTACCCTTTTCATCTCTCTCTCTCTCTATATATATATATAGATATATATATACACACACAAACAACCAGTGACCACCACCCCCAAGTGAAGACGCCGAAAAGGAGCTCTGCCACCGCTACCTCCTCGACCTCGCCGGAGCTCGGCCTCTAATTCCACTTAGGCTATTCCTGGACTCCATCATTCAGGTTCAGGCCTCTGCTTTGGAGCACTTTGGGACCTCAATTTGGCCTTGAATGATTGTGTACTGGCCATGTAATTTAGATAATTTGTGTACTTCCGGAAATAAGTATCAACACAGACGCTCTTTGCCGACGTCACCGGGGCATTAGACCTGCCAGAATTTACAAACTAAGGGGTGCTTTCGGCTGTGGAGAACCGGCATTCGTCTCCGGTTAGTCCCCAATCGATGTCTTGGGAGTTCCGGTGACCGAGGATTGATAAACGGGTCAAAATTTGACATGGGAAGGGTGAGGAGAGTGTTTGGCCAAATGGGTCGTTGCCAGAATCTGACACCCAGGTTTTGGTTCTCCGAGATCTTGATTTGGCCTTGCCAGTGTCCATTTCCATAATCTTTGGATTGCCCTCAGTGGTGTTTATGTCCAAAGATGTTGAACTGTAAAATATACACAGAGGCGGGTTTGGGTTCCGTTTACAATATGCTTTTTCACTACAACGTTTCGCCGTTACTACTGCGCCGGCAACGTTTCCGACCACCACGAGCCATCCGAATATTCTGATGACCAGAATAATTGATCCGAATGAACGAACAACCCGTCTAACGCAACGTACTCGCCGTTATTAATATAACTATCACCACCAACGATTCCCAACCCGAATGAGTCGTAACTTGAGATCTCATTATCAAACTCCCATAACTCACAGAGTCCGGTCGAGTCCGACGAAACTCGGACCAACTCGGTCTCTTCGTTGTTCTCCGCCTCGCTTGACGACGCAGTCGACGGAGGGAGGCCGAGCTCGTCATCGAAGGCTTCCAAGAGGTAGCCAAGCTCTGGTTGGGAATCTCCGGCGTCTGACGTCAGATCTACAACGTTCGCCGGTGGAGCTGGCGACACAGAGATCTCTTCTTCGAAGTTCTTCATGAATGAGTTGAGGTCAGGACAACTAGTTCCGAGATCCGAGTCGTCGAGATTTAGGAGGTCATCCCTGAGTCTCTTCACCTCGGCTGAGTTCAGCTCTGACTCATCCCATTCATCTCTGACTCGCTTCTCTCTACACCCACCATCGCAGCCACAACCACCATCCATCTCATCTCCCTTCTTCCTCTCTCTGTTCTCTCTCCTCCGGTGAACTATATAATATACACACAGGCGGGTTTGGGTTCGGGTTTAAGATGGGTTTGGATTTAATCCAAGGGTATTTAAGTCAATTAAAATGTTAATTTTATTTCAAAGGATAATAAGGTCAATTCATCATCTTCAGGGTCTCTTTGTCCATTTTTCAAACTTAAAGGGGTGTCATTGTCCAAAAATAGACAAACTTTCCTCCGAATGTCCTTATCCCAAACCTCAGGGGGTGTCTCTGTACTTTATCCTTATATATTTAAGAAAAAATAGAAAGGCCTGATTCTTTGTTGAGAAATATAGATAAGAAAAGAGGCATTGTCACGAGTATAGATGAGAAAAGAGGTATTGTCACGACTCACTCTATAATATATTGTTACTCGTTTTGCACATTTTTCTTTGAGTGTTTACAATTTTACTCAAATTTCGTTTATATAAATAATGTGTATTCACATTCCACACATAAATTTTAACAATTTCTTCCACTCAAGCAATTTAGGATTTATACCTTATAATTATTTCGTAACATTACTTCTTAAACAAACAATATTTATTTTTTCACAATGAACACCTATGTGATATACAATTTTGTTAGTAGTAGATCTGCCTGCTAACTTTTTAAAGAGTGACACTGAACCGTAGTCCATCAATATGAATATATGAAACCAGGGGTCAAGATTTTAGTTTAGGGAGGACACAATGTTAAGAAAAAAAAAATTATTTAAACTAGTAGAAGGGAAAAAAAAATAAGAAAAAGAAAAAAAAAAGTAAGAAAAATAACAACTTAAAAAGGAAACAATTAAAATTTAATTTGACAAGGAAAATTTAACTTTTTTTTTAAAGAAATTTAAAGAGTAAATTAGGAAAAAACTAGAAAAATACCAACAGGCCTGTGGCCTAGCGATACAAGGCTCCTACTTCTCAAAGGGAGGTCAGAGGTTCGAACCTCAGTGGAGGTAGTGTGTGTGAGTCCCAACTAGGAAAAAAAAAAAAAAGAAAAGAAAAAACTAGAAAAATAAGAGATAATTTAAAAAACTAATAATTCTAGGGGGAACATTATATAAAAAATTTCATATATACACATGTAACATATAAAAAAATTTCTATATATATAGTGGACGGGCCCAACCAGGGGCACATAGGCATACCCTTGTATGAGATCATGGCCCAATAATAGTATAAGTGGAAAATTTATCTAACTTTTTAGAATCAATAGAGAAAAATAAAACAAAAATAGAAAACAAAAATGTTGCAGATGTAATAGCAAAAAAAACGGAAATACTTTGCATACCGAAAATGAAGAGATTGGAGAGGCTGTCACCAACTTAGGAAAGGAAGAGTTGTGTTGAAATAAAAGGGAGATGGCATGGGTACTATATATAGCCTAACTGAGCCACACATTGGGGCCGGGGGCATGTGCCTCCTGGCCCAATGTGACTCATATATATATATATATATATATTGACAAAAATGTCAAATTCTCAACACCATTAATATTTTATATTATTAATATTTTTTATTTTCATTTGTTAGATTAGGAACAAAAACTGATGGGAAGGGCCCTCAAGTGAGTCAACTCGCAATTTAATTTACATATATATATATATATATATATATATATATATATATATATATATATATTCTATGCTCATGTTTTCAATTTTTCTTCTTTTAGTTAGATGGAAATAAGTAAGAAAACAAAAGAAATGAAAAATGAAATAAAAGTAAAGTGAATGAAAATAAAACTTATTTTCTAACCTGTATTTGGTTAGCAAGAAAATTTATTCAAGAAAATATTAATTTGTTATTTTGGATAGTATGAAAGTGAAAAGAAAGGAATGGAACACATCAAAATTTAATAATATAATTGTTTATATTTTATTTATTTGTTTTTAAAATAAGACTTCATAGTAATTTCTTAAGTAGAAGTAGAACTAATTTTTAATTTAAGAAAAACGAACTTAAAAAAATAATAATTTTTGAGATGAAAAAACTAATGGCAATACTAATTTTTGAGATAGATTTGATTGTATATTGTTGTTACAAATTATATAAGAACTTGTGATAAAATAAAGAAAGAGTTCTTTTGTAGAGAACGTGCCTCTTTGAAACCCAATACAAAAAATAAAAATAAAAAGAAGTTTTGCACCATTAAGTTGGTACGTAAAATAAGAATGTTAAATAAAAAGGAAAATGTTTGGGAGAAAATAGGCAAGTATGGAAACAAAATTTTTTATTACTTTTCTTTTTTCATCTATCCAAAATTAAAAAAAAAAAAATTAGAAATTTTCTCTTTCCTTTCTATTCTAGTTGATTCCACCAAACCAAATGAAGTCTTAAGCAGATTTTCCATCATAGATAAGTTAAGCAATTTTTCTATTAGAATTTTGTCATTTATTCCCCCTGGTTCCATTCGTTCTTGGTTGGAAAATACAAAAGGAAAAAAAAAAAGGAAAGAGCAAGAGATCTTGGTTGGAGAAGGAAAAAAAATGGAAAGAGCAAGAGATATTGGTTGGAAAAGAAAAAGGGGGAAAAAACAAAAGAAAGGAACGATAAAGAGATCTTGGTTGGAAAAGAAAAAGAAAAAAAAAGAAAAAGAAAAGGAAAGAGCAAGAGATCTTGGTTGGAAAAGAAAAAGCAAAAAAAGAGAGGGAAGGATAGAAGGGAAAGAATGAGAAATGTTTGGAAGGTGTAGACGCCCCATTTCTGCCCTCCCCTTATAACCTACCAACCTCCTGAATCCCGGGAAGGAATAGCGTTTCCATCTTGTGAGACCATTTCCCCAATAGAACCCATCTACGGTAGAAAAATGAAAACATACAATTAGATTGTCCGATTGGACATCAAACTTCACAATTACACTCATGACATCATATAACTTCACGAAACACTTTAATAAATCACATCACACATTTCCCGACACCCGATCACCATTCCCTCCAAAAAGGGCAAAACTAGCATTTTTCCTTACAACCCCATGATCTAATTGTCAAAATGACAAACGGACTTCTCCATTGAGTCCAGAGCACCCAAAAACCATAGGGTGCACTTCACCTCGAAGTCTCTACCCTCCACCATCACCTACTTTGATTAAAACCCTAGGTAGGGCCCGAGTAGTCAACCCTAAGTTTGACTTTTCACATCGATGGTCAAACTCTTCCACAGACATCACCATTGTGCTCAGAAGGTCCAAAAACCTAAAAAAGCACTGTAATGTTGCCTACCTTTTAGCCCGATCCCCACATTTGACCAAGTTTCTACGATAGGGACCAACCGGTCAATCCCAAGGTTTGAATTTTCAAGGAAAAGGCAAATAGGAAAACATACATCATCAATGGATTCAGAGGGTCCAAAAACCCTTGAAACCATTATAATATTGGCCATGTTCCAGTCCGGGGCCACTTTGACCTAGTCTCTACTCTCAATGGCAAAATATGTAAAACTGCACTGCGCAGGGACTTGTTGCAATCCCAAATGGATAATATTGCCACATCAGCATTATGAGATCATCATGAAGTCAAAAATCTCAAAGAAATACCTCAAAATTCGAAAATGGCACTCAAATGCAATTTCTGAAAAAACGGGGGCAAAATAAAGAATAACCAAGGAGAGAGAAAGAGGAAAAGGACACTAGGGCCGCATAAAAAGCATGCGTCCTGAGGCTCCTTTTTCAAAAATTGAGAAGGCCCTTACACTCCCCCCCACCCCAGTCATTTGTCCTCCTTTGATCTACACCATTGATGCAAAAGTACTTTTCGGACATTACCCAAAAGTCCCTCAAATTTGCAGTTTAGCCCTCTAAAATTCATGAAATAATGTCAATAACCAATGTCATAATGAAACCCGTCAATGAAACATCGATACGAAAATGCCAATATGGGACCATGTTCCTCATCATGAAATAACCACATATAGTGATTATGTCACAAATCTCGAAATAAATGTACACCATGTATGCAACCCCAATATAACACAATGTATCCATGAATGCACCACCAATATCACATAGTATATACCCAAATGCCACATTGCATAAGTCAAATAACAAATACACCACATAGCCCACATAAGGCAACCAAATAATCCACCTACCAAATAGGAATCAAGAAAATAAGGGCATGCTACACATCACTAATGATACTAGCATGATAAACAAATATGGTATGTGAGAAATGCATCATTTCTACCATTGCGTAAACCAACACCTAGCCACGTATCCTCGATATGTTTTTAAGACATACTTGAAATGATAAAGCATATAAACATACAAGGGTGACTACATATAACAATGCCATATAATCATAAGCAAAATGGAATTCCTTTCAAAAGGACCATCTCATAGAAAGCGTACATATCGCAAAACACGGATTAGTCCAACCTCTCAATGCAAAGAAAGAAATCATCCCTCAAAATGATCACTAAGGTCTCCGACACATAAGGTCAACAAGCCTTCCCGAACTACCTCTCACACCAAGGGTAAACTCTACACTCGCACGAATGACAAACTAAAAAAGGCAATAGGTAGTCCAAACACCAATCATTACAAGCCATCCAAAAGAAAGATGCATCTCAAGATGCCAATGGATTAGATAAGAACTCTATAGGATTCTACCGGAATCCATACACATCGCCCTAGGTCTCTAAAGACAAGATTGAGTAATTAATTGCACCAAATGCAATTAATCACTCAAACTTGCACACATACCAAACCGTAGCTCATAAGAGCTTCACCGAATCATACTAAAAAAGGAACCTTAGGTTGACACACTTCTTAAGTCCCAAAACTATCACTCTAAGAAGACAAGACACATGGCCCTAGCCGTTGTGGCCCAAGAAAACAAACCTCTCTTACATTGAATAATGAATCAAGTAAATCACAACTCATCATCCCAAGATGTTAAGAACAAGACTCCTAATGATTTCATCATATTAAGGTCACCACAAAACCCCAAGAGATGTTGCCA